GGTCGCGAAATCCCACCGTGGGGCGCAAAAGTCTGGTCGCACCAAAGTTTGGTCGCGAAAGCCTGGATTTAAATTCACAAAAATCAAAAGACAAAAGTTCGCAAAAATTTTGCAAAATGTATGATCAGGCTTTTGCGACTCTATGTCCAGATTTTGCGCTGAGCGTCAAAAGCACCCGAGTCAAAAGCCCCCGCAAGAAAAGCCCCCCGTCAAAAGCCCCCGAGTCAAAAGCCCCTCGTGCTTTTGCATGTAGGTGTTCATGTACATGTAACTTTTGCGCCGGGGGCTTTTGACTCGGGGGCTTTTGACGGGGGGCTTTTGACTCGGGGGCTTTTGACGGGGGGCTTTTGACTCGGGGGCTTTTGTCGCTCAGCCCAGATTTTGCTAATCTAAGTCCACGCATTTGCGACTTGTTTTTAGTAAGTCCTGACTTTGGCGACCCACAGCGCGACTTTCGCGACCCACAGCGCGACTTTCGCGACCCACGGCGCGACTTTCGCGACCCATGGCGAGACTTTCGCCGCCCACGGCGCGTTTTCCGCGACCCTCAGAACGATTTTATGCCCAGACTTACCAGACTCAGACTCTCGCGCAGCTATGCAATTTGGGTCTAGATCTGGATCGGGATATGGCGAAAATTTCAAAGTCTGGACATGAATCTGAGACCTCCTCGACTCGGGTAAGTTCTTGCAGAAAGCAATGAAAAGGAAGAAAAGCTGAGTAAAATTTTGTAACCTTAAAGGATGTGATGCGGCAAGTGGCATACAAGATGCTGGCAATGTCAGCTTCGAACTCGTCGAATGTTTCGTAAATTTTAACGAAATTTTCATGGGAGGCCACTGTGGTCAGGGCGATTGGGTCGACATCACCGGCCATCCCAATTGAGTACACGAGTACTTCAGGGAGCTGAAACAATTAGGAAATTTTAGCAAACAAAAATGAAATATTTTTTTATGCAATTAAGTAGCACAGAAAATTCCGGTCAGAGTTAATTATAATGAACATCCGATCAGAGTTAATTATATAGTGAAAATATTTATTTTTTTCCATTTTTTTGAGGATTTTGAAATAATTTCGATTTTTTGTTAGCTGTTTTCTTCAAAATTTTCTATTTAAGTAAGGAATCTATATCACTTTGGTGTTTTTTCCAGAACAATTTTATAAGTTTCTTTTCAACTCAGGTGATTGATACTTGAATCATCGAAACCCCCGCATGGTATGCACACCACTGTATTAACCTGACATCACCTAAACTACTAATTTCATACGTCGATTCTGAAAGTGTAACGCGCAATATTTATGCGCGGCGACTTATCCCTCACTATAAAATCGTTGCAAATTGAATTGAGGCAAGCCAGTTGTTCTTATTAATTCCATATACAACTAAAAGCTTAACTCTTAAAATATAAAAGTATCAGTTTATAATAGTTTGTCAATACTTCAAATTCAAAAACCAGAACATTTTCGAGAGCAGTTAATACGCAGTCAGTACATTCAGTGATTTGCCTTAATACGACCAGTCTCGCTTGTTTTCGCTTTCTATTTACGCTTGCGTGTTGTCTTTTATGGCAAATAGTCAAATTACGATCTTGATCGCCATTTTTTCTAACTGCCGATTAGCTTAATGAATATTGTTTTGTAACTAAAAACGACCGTATGGAATGTTTGCAACGAAATTAGACCTGATTACCATTGTAACAGTTGTTTTCATCATAGGGTTCAGATTCTTTGAACTACTTGATCTGCCGCTCTGTTGACTAGAATATATGTCTATCAGATGTGAAACCAGTTTCATTTGTTTATGATTGTTTCTAATTGTTTCAGTTCATCAAAACTTTAATCTATAAGTTACAAAACATAGAATTCTAAAATTATAAGTTAAACAATTGTTTGTTGTGTAAGTAGCACAAAATATTCCGACCATATTCATTAAAAAAATTCAGAGAATTTTTGTTTCAAATTGCGTCTTTTTTGCTTTCGCGTGATCAGTGATTCTGAATTAAAGCCTATAATTTAGGTGTTAAAAAAAATTGATACGTTTTGCAACAAATTTCCACATACATTAAATTTTGAAATGAAATATAGAAAAAACTAATTTTTTTTTGAAATTATTTTTCAAAAACTTCGAAGAAATTTTTGCTCGTTCTTGAAATGATTAATCCCTAGAAGTTTCTCGAAAGTGTTTTGATAAATAATTTGAATCATGTAAGATTAAGCAATACTGAGTTTGATAAGTAACCCTTTTAGTCGCAACTGAATGCTTTAATATGATATATCAATGAACCCAATCCGATGGTTATTCATGGTACTCAATTTTGCATGAAGAAAATGAAGAAAAAAAGAAATAACTAAAATACTCCCAAATACAAAACTCCCCCCCCCCCCCCATTTTCAATTAATGGAAAATTCGTGAAACTTAAACTTTCAAGTTCAGATGACAAATTTCTTTTGCTTTTAGTTACTTTTAGATATTGATTTTAGTTACTTTTGCTCAAAAAAACTGATTGGTACAACTTCTACAAAATGGCAAAAATTTTATACATGAATCCGTGCACCAATCATTGGCTAATAATCAAGTCTTTGGTGATTTTAGTGTCATTTTTGCAGTATTTTTTTGATTTTATAAATAACTTCTATTTTTACAAATTATTATCTAGAAAAACTGTTAATTTGATTGATTTTGATTATGATTGATGAAATGGATTAAGGTTAAAGTTTTCAGAAGCTAAATGAAGTTTTCAAATACTTTTCAGTTAATTGAAAACCTGATTTTTGTTTTCCCCAAACACACTTTGAATTATATTGCAGTTTTTATTTCATCGTGCTCCCTTTTTTGTCAAAAAACTCATTATTGTTAATTGTTCCCGTTTAAAAATCTAGGGCATGTGATAAAAGTTCACTCATACATGAAATTTAGTGTAACACGGGCGTTTGTTCCGTGAAATAATAATGAAAATAGTTTTTGAGTATGGCTAGCAGTTTTGATTTTTTTGCTTAAAAACTCAACAACAAAATTTTTTTCGAATAAGAAAGCCCACTGGCAACAATATCATAATAGGTTTGAACTAACGTATTTTACATTTAAACCAGAAGTTAATATAGCAAAAAATATATTACAAAAAAACTAAAAACCAAGTAGTGGCTGGAAATTTTTTTTGGAAAAAATCAGTGGTTGAAAAAACATGTGGCGTATAGATTTTACACAATAAAGCTATTTTGATAAATAAAACCAAACAAAACGATGGTTTTTTAGAAAACTTTTGAGGTCATTTCATTTCTTTTGTGTAAAAAATTAACTCTGGACTACAATTCACTCTGGACTACAATTAACTCTGGACAAAACTCATGAAAGGTGATTAAAAAACGCGTTTTTCTCAAATTAGTTGACTTTAGACAAAAGATGCTGTGAACAAAACTTGCTACGAATTTTTTGCGAAGTTTATTGGTGCAATTGTTTTGCGAAAATCGAGACCAAAGTATTTCAGCCCAGAATTGGACCATTTTAAACTTTTTAGTCAATTAGAACTTACACTACAGCTACGAAATCATTGACTGTTAAAATTATATCAGAGTGAGCCTCTAAAATGGATCAAGAAACTTTAAGAAGAGAATAGTATCCAAAAAATTGCGCAAAACGTTTAAATAATCGTTCTTAAATAAAATTTTGTTTTTAAAAAATGATTTTTTTGACTATCGAGCTAAAATATTTCAAATTTTTCTCTGTTTTGGCTAGTATATTCTTCTTAAAAATTGTTGCTTCACTTAAAAGGCTCACTTTATCATACTGTTGACAGCAATTGATTTCGTAGTTTTGATATCATTTTTTTACTGAAAATTCCCAAACTATCCCTTTTTGGGGCAAAGATTTCGGCCCGCCTTTGCAACACGAATTGCACAATAATTAGCAAAATAATTTGGGCAAGTTTTTCCCTGCGTTTTAATATTCTACTTTTATGCTTTTTATCCGGATATCAGCTCTGTACATCAAAGACAAAAATATGAAAGTTTGCATAAATTTTCCCAAGAAAGGGTTCGTTTGAGAGAAAAAAGAGTCTAAAAGAGGAAAAAAATACTATTTCAAGTTTTTCGCCTGCTATTAAAAATTTTTGATTGTAGCAACTTAAAAAGTGCGGATCAAGAAAAGCGATTTCCATAGACTTAATAAAAGCTTCTTAAATTTAAAAATGCACAATAATTTTTTACGCAGGTCCCGTTATAAGGATGGGCTAATATATAGGTCCCGTTTAAAACTCTGGCAAGCTTATAATATGTCCTTACAAGTCCTGCATATTAAAAGGTCAGAAAGGAAAATGAATAGAAGTGTTCAGTATATGGGAAGTACTTTTGTTTTTGACATACCCTTTGAATCTACTTAACAATTGTCCCCCCTTTCAAGAATGACCAATGAGATTGCGTCAAAACTCGAAATTTGATTACAAAGATTAGTGCTATTTACTACTTTTGTTTATCGGGGTGGCAATTCTTTAGTAGATACCAAAGGGGAGGGCGATTGTTCAGTAGATTCTACCATTTTACACTATGCAACTTACGTTTCTCAGATCATTAACCGTCTCGTTAGTCAGATTGCCTTGTCCATCTGTGAGAAAAAAGAAAAATTTTCGAACTGTCTCATCATTCAGTCGAGAATGCACGCTTTCTCGAACAATTCTAATCCCCTCATTCAATCCCTCATCCAGATCAGTTCCCCCGTTCGGGTTGCCAAGCTCTTCGATGTAGCGATCAGCTGCTTGTTTATCACTCGAAAAATCGCTCGATTCCACCATTCTATCGTTGAAGAGTACAAAAGCAACTTGAGATTCTCCGACAGTCATTTGATCCTCAAATTGGTTCATAACAGCTTTGACGAAATTCTTTTGTTGCAGGTACTCACTAAAATAACCTTGACGAGTAAGAATGGAGCCAAATGAATGTAACAACTGATTTTTTGCCAATTATGCTGTAATGATAGCAATAGTTAAATTTCTCGCACGATTTCTCTCGCAGTTAAATATTTCAGAGCGGTTTTAGTTTTGAAGTCCAAAGGATTCTTGATACAATTTAGCTACCATCTTTAAAAACCTTCGCAAAAGTATCTATCCAATTTGAACATTTTTTAGAACGTGCTTTATTCGACTTGGAAAAATGGGGAGAAATCAAAATGTGAGAATAGTCCGTATAATCATTTGCATAACATTTGCAAGTTGTTAATGATCTAACTCATCATTTATGCTTCCACTTCCATCCATTATGAAGACGGCATCAGTCGGAGGGTCCGTGCATGTCATGCATTCGCTCCCCCCATCACCACTGTTTGTGTCAAGCAGGTCAGATTTCTGGTTGAAGCTTGGTTGAAGTGAGCTAAAATTATTGCAATTTTATAATTTTGAGGAACAATTCTATTCAGCAAAAGCTTTTGATTTTTACATGCTTTTTTATTTTTTTTTCATACTCTGTCCAATAATGGCATCTTCAAACTAGTAGCTAGTTTTAAATATAGCTTCCTAACGAGTGTTTTTGGTGATACTTGACGGCCCAGTTTGAGCAGACGGGGGATTGTTTACAAAAATCATACAATTCTGGAAGTTTGTGGATCAAAAGCTGACCATACCGCTGACAACCAATTGATGTTGAATAATCCGGCTCAAAATTGCAACTGAAAGCATTAACGTTGTTACCCGTCTGGGTCAGAGAGACCCGTTGCGTTTTTCCAGAAATCCCATTGGCCCTGAATCATATAAAAAAACTTGGTTTTCAAAAATTAAGTTATAGGCGAGACAGAAAAGTTATATGCTGATTGCACTTACGTTTTTGTCGATCCTCGCTGGCACGACGTCTGATTGTATAGCTTGAATCTCATTAAAAACAAAAATTGTTAGATTAGGTAAAATGTGTTAAAAACTTGAGGCCACAATATCAGGAATTGGACGCCTTTTTTCGAATCCCCTGACCACCTACAGAGTCCCGTCTTTTTTACGATTTTAAGGCGTCAACCCTTGTTTTAGACATTCAAACCCCTCAAAAAAGCAACCCCCCCCCCACCACCACTTGGATTGAGCATTGGTGACAGATGGGTTAGGCAAAATATTGGCAGCCATGATTGACTGGAGGCGTTATTTATGCTATATATGTCAAAAGAACCCAAAGCAATATTAGACGTGTGACTGTTTAATTAGTTGTACTTACTTCAATCATAATTTGAGCGGCCACTAAATTGACCATTGGCTGTGTCTGGTTCTCGAAAGTTGTGTCGTGGAAATAGAAGCCAAGTTGTTGTTGGATCAGCCTCCCAATCTAAATAACGGCGTAAGTAACCGCTCCATTGAAAACTTTTTTTTCAAATTTATGGTGTTTGTTCCGACAAATGAAGATAGTGACGAAATAATTGTGCTTCGGAATTTGATTCAGACAAACTTCAATTTTTTAGAAACAGCATTGATTTGATTTTATTATATGAGAGACATCAATTTCCTGAGCTCAAAAAAACTATTTAACGTGTGACTTTCATATGGTAAGTTACGGGCCGAACCAAAGTTAAAATAATATAAAGGGATTAACTTAGCTTTCCGAGGCAAAAAATTGTTCTTAATATCAATAACGAGATAAGCAGCTTTAAATTGAAAAACAAATTAATTGAGTCCCGTGTCGAGGTTTGCGATTTGTGTTCCGAAAAAAAATAGAAATTAATTAAAATTGATTTAAAGCGTTTTTTTGTATGAACTATAATATAATCGATTGTAATAGGTTATAATCTCTTGGAAAATATCTAAATTATAATCAATTAAGAAACACCTAGTTTTGGTAATTAAAACACCTTGTTTTGGTAATTATAATCAATAACAATTGTCACAAAACTAACTAATAATCCGTTATAACCGGTTACTTACGCCTAAATTTGAATGCGAAAAAAGACCTCAATCTTCGCTTGCCAACAAAGGTTTCGTTTCTGAGTAGTATTTTTAGATAGATAATCCAGCCTTTCCGTTTTAATTTTTTTCTCTTTACAGAAATGATCGATTTTTTTTCGTGCAATAGAAATAAACAACTTCTAATCCAAATATTGAAACATTTTGATTTTATTTGAAATTTTCGAATGAAATTTTGAGTTTGTTTGTGCCTTGATTAATATTGAACTTTGAGTTATATGAAAAAACTGCAAATTTTGCTTTCAGTATTGTTTCACAAGCACGGCATTTGAAACCAAGACGCTGTGGGTTTATGATCAGACTACCGCGACCGAAATATGGTAATTCTAGACTGTTGCAGCCAAAGTTTGGTTTTTCCAAACAAAGGAGATATGTCCGCCAGCAGCTCGACCAAAAAATAGTTGGACGCTGTCGACGTAACCAAAAAAAATAACCACGACCAGCGTTAATTTTCCGACCGTTGCAGTTTTTTCTCCATATTATAAATATTAGGAAAACATAATACAAATTAATTTTTTTTGTAAAATTTGACCGTCTGAAAAAGCCTCATTTTTTGTTCTGCCTCTATTTAACCTTTTCTTAAAAATAAAGCTTACTCATATCAACCCCTGAATATACGAACTTGATGTAGGAGTAGTCTTGTTTCTATTGATTTTCATTTTTCCATCATAATGCGTAAAATCAAGTGAGCGTAGTTTCTTGTTCATCGATGTAATTTAAGTTTTTTGTCAATATCTCAGCTACATTTCGAACCAAAAACTGTGTATCAACCAACGAAACTCCACTCTGTTAAAAAGTTACATGTGTTTGCCTGTAAGTTTTGCTCGTAAAAAAGTTTGGCACTGTTGAAACCTCAATAATTTCAGGAAGTGTGATTATAAGTCTTTTATTTGTTTTTTTTTTACTGTTTTTAGTTTTTTTTGTTGTTGAGGCACTTAGCATAGCGGTAAGGCGTTCATTTTGAAATAGTCAGATTGTGTATTTGATCCCATGCCATGGCAACGATAGTATGTGAGGACGAGCTTTCATTTAGCCTGTAGCTTCAGGTCTACCACAGCCTGACCAATATCGGCTGCATAAGTGGTACCACGTGAAAGTTCTAGACGCAAAAAACGGACTTGAGTCGGAAAAAAGACCTTCGCTTAACAAAATAAAACAGTCTAGAATATGAGGAAATAATACAAATGAACTATCCTCGACAGGACTGTTTGAAGCCTTCTTATAGCTCCTCTCCGATTCGCAGGAACCACATTATTTTTTCAGCTAAAGGTGTCTATATTTATCAGATGGTATAGAAAATTCAGCTGAATGTTGTTTTTAAAAATCCAAATGCTGTTCTGAAAAAATTCTGTTCTGAAAAAGTTTTAGATATAAGCCCAAACCTAATGTAAACAATATATTTTACTTTCACGAAGAAAAATAAAAAAAAACAAGTTGTTCGCCAAAACTTTTAAGCCTGGGAAAGTTTGTGTGTTTTCGGATTTTCCTAAGTTTTTCTGGCATCCGCAAATTTTTTGTAACATGCATTCAAAGCAACCCAAAGTTAATAAAGAGGAATTAAGTGGCGGTCGCAACAAAAATTGCGAGAACCATTTCAAGCATCCTCTAGAAACTTCAAAAAGCTTTCAATTTTTTTAAGTAGTTCGTTTTTGTGTTAGCAAGACTTATTCTGCTTTTTAAAAGTACTCGATTCAGCCTTTCGATGTACTCTAGGACCATGTCTAACTGTTGTTGTTCCGACTTTCGATACGAAACTAACGGAATATTTGTGCTCGGTTGGGTTTTTTTTTTTCAGACAAATTTGGACTTTTTAACTAGCCATTTTTGACGGAATTTTTTAATATCATTTTAAAGGTATTGTTATCTTGATCTTACATTTGAAAAGATATTTCACCTGTGATCATTTTTTGTACAGTTATGGGGGTTTAAGAATTGACATTTTGGCTAATTTGGGACAATTAACGCGCTATATTTCGCGCTGTTAATGCGTAAGCGGAGATTTAATCCGTCTTAGAAATCGCTCCAAATTGGTTGAAAGAAGCTTCTTTCTCAGAATTGATTTGTTACAAGGAGCGAAATTTATTTTTTTGTAATTTATATGGCGTGTGGGGTGATGATTTTCCTAGAAAAAATTTCAAAATTTATTTTTTTTTTTTTCATTTATTTTTTTACATTTAATATTTTAATGATTTTTATGTTATTACTGCCCCATAAATCTTAAAAGGTAATCAGAACATTCAGAGATTAGCTCTGATACGAGCAGTTTTGTTGCAATTTCGCTGATGCCGTATGTTATAGTGGTTTGAAAACATTATTATGATAATCCAACTCCAATTAGGCCTAATTGGGCCTGTTGCTTGAAACAACAGATACCTGCACTTGACTTGTCCCGGAAACCACTGTCTGAGCCTTTTCCCAGTTTTCTCTGGTCAGCTGCCAGATCCCGGACGCATTTTCCCTGTACTCGGTTTCTCCAAACTCTGACAGGAAGGCTAATCTTGTCAGCATGTACTTGTCGCTGGAAATCAAGAGAAGTTTGTCCAACACAGAACAAAAGATATGAAAATTCGGTTCATGATTCGAAATACGAAACTGATTTGATAGGAATAAATACATACAAATTATACTGCCAAGGAAACCTATCTGTGATTAATCCAAAAATGAGTGAGAGTATTCATTGTTCATAAACATTGAAAAAAAGAAAATGAGTTCGGATTGATAAAAGCTTTGTTTTTAAGGCACCGTTAATAAATGGCTATAAAGCGAAAGTTCAGTGAACCTTGATTTGTGTTGGAAGGTTTCAGCAGGATTGACAAATAAAGTGGTTAGACAATGAGGCAAACATCGTCAAAAAGTTTGTTTGAATAAGTAAACATCGTGCGTAGAAAGAAATCGAAATGGATGGCATTAAAAATTAAATTTTTGCATGGGGGTGAAAAAAAAGTAAACAGAAATATTGTACTAATGAACTCACAAAAACATTTGAAAATTATCAACCGTTTTTTTTCAGACTAACCAATTTGAAATTCTCAGACAAAAGACTCGAAAGGCTATATTTTTGTTTGCAGGCACAATTGGAAATTCTCGGCAAAAATGGCAATTTTACTCATGTTCCCCCATTAAAATTACAGGTACCCGAAAAATAATGGATTCTCATGTTCAATTTCAATAAAATTCTAAAACACTTGGTTATAGTTCTAAACAGAAAAAAAATCAAAAAAATTTTCCATAAAAGATCGTATTTTTTTTAGATTATATTGGGTTATAGCCAATGTTTGCAGGCACAATTGGAAATTCTCGGCAAAAATGGCAATTTTACTCATGTTCCCCCATTAAAATTACAGGTACCCGAAAAATAATGGATTCTCATGTTCAATTTCAATAAAATTCTAAAACACTTGGTTATAGTTCTAAACAGAAAAAAAATCAAAAAAATTTTCCATAAAAGATCGTATTTTTTTTAGATTATATTGGGTTATAGCCAATTTTATACAAAACTGATTTTTGAACATTTTTCAGTGTTATCAAAATTTGAAATTTGCATTTTTAAACTGCGACTTACCCATAACTGGTACAAATTTGCTTTTTTTGCTCCGACTTCCGAAGAAAGTGAAGTAAATATATGCTAGGGGTAGTTGTTATTCAGACCAATTTTGACTTGTTTGAGGGCTCGATCCCCTTACTTTTACTGCCCCTGCTATGCGCTCACAACACTCTTTTGCATGACTGTTTAAATTAAACCAATCTAGCTAAACTGCTCGTCTTCCGTTTTGATGCTGAAAGCTTAAAGCGAAATATTTGCGCTTGGAGAGCTATCCCGCACTAGAAAATTATTCCAAATTGAACTGAGGCAAGATAATTGGTATTTTTATTCCTCCGACTTTCGTAACGAAAGTAACGGAATATTTGTGCTCGGGTTGGGTTTTTTCTACAGACAAATTTCGACGTTGTAACAAGCAATTTTTGACGGAATTTTGAAATATCATTCAAAAAGTAATGTTATCTTGAGCTTACATTTGAAAAAATATTTTACCAGTGATCATTTTTTCCTAAGTTATGGAGGTTCAAAGATTGCCATTTTGGCCAGTTTGAGACAATTAACGAGCGATGTATTCCGCACTAGTCCGCGCTATTAAGGCGTAAACGGAGATTTAACTCATCTTAGAAACAGTTCCAAATTGGTCTCCAGACAAATTTCGACTTTTTAACTAGCCCTTTTTGACAAAATTATTTTTCTATCTTTCAAAAGGTATTGTTGTTCTGAGTTGAAACTTGAAAAGATATTTTACCAGTGATCACTTTTCGTGAAGTTATAAGGGGGTATAAAGATTGCCATTTCCGCCAATTTGGGACAATTAACGCGCGATATATTTCGCACTATTAACGCGTAAGCGGAGATTTAATCTGTCTTAGAATACGTTCCAAATTGGTTGTAGGAAGTTTATTTGCTATAATCGATTTGTTTTAGGAACGAAATCTTTTAATATGGCGCTTGAGGGGATGATTTTCACAAAAAAAATCCTCTTTTTTTGAATTTTTTTCCTCATTTTGTTTTATTACAATTTAATTGTTTCATGTTATTACTGCTCCATAGACCTTAAAAGGCAGTCGGTACTTTCAAGGCTGCGCCCTGGTACGAGCAGTCTTGTTTTGTAGATTACATAGCGTGTGGGAGTTTTGCAAGAAAAATCTGAAAAAAATTTCAAACTTTTTTTTGAAAGCTTTATCATTTTTTTTATCCGAACACTACTCCATAGACTTTAAAGAGCAGTGGGAACATTCAAGGCTTCGCCCTGATGCAAGCACTCTTGTTAAACCTTAAAATTTGATTTTGTTAGCCTAAAACCAATAAGAAGCAGTCGGAACATTCAGGGCTTTGCCCTGATGCCCTGATGCGAGCACTCTTGTTAAACCTTAAAATTTGATTTTGTTAGCCTAAAACCAATAAGAAGCAGTCGGAACATTCAGGGCTTTGCCCTGATGCCCTGTTGCGTGCAGTCTGAATTCTATCTATTCTCTTCACAGTTATTTTTGAAATTTTTTTTGTTGTTGTTTTCATTTTACTGACTGAGGGATAGTTCAAAACTGACTGAGTTCAAAAGTTGTAGTATTATGAGTATGTTTAATTTTCGAGTAGGTCACGAGTAATGCAGCTACTAGTTTTTTTGAACTACTTTTGTATCAAATTTATGAAGGTTATCTTTCTTTTTTTGTGCACAATGGATAGATAATGAATTAAAAAGTATGTAATTTTCGAAAAAAAATGGATTAAACTCAATTGCATGGTCTCCAAGTGTAATCGATTTTATTTGAACAAAAAGATTGCTTACAATAGATTATTACCATGGACACGACTGCGGGTAGTAATAATTGAGGTAGGTTATCCAAGCATGATTTAATAAAGCCTCCCTAAATCCAACTGATAAGGGTTGATTGAAGCTTACCGTGTCTGGAAGTAGTATCCTAGTTCGATACTTTTCTCCATCAGTTGTTCTAGTTTGTCAATAGCTGCTTTGGCCACTTCACATCCTGTTGCATTGTGTTGCATGGTCAGGTCCTGTTTGCCATTTACATTTCTTAACCAGCAGAGACAAATCTATAATGAAAATTATTATGGCTCAGAATTAAATTAGGTCTTATTAGTTTTTTTTTTGAAGGTAGACAACTAGGAAAAATTTTCAATTTGATGTTTTCAAAGAAACAAATGGTAATTTAGATCAAGTCATTAATCATCAGATCAATTGATTCTTCATTGCTTCTCTATTCTCTAAAGTCAAAAAAAGTTTCGGCAATTCTTCCCTGTTAACCCACACCCTCCGAAACCCCCCCACTCACCAAAATTTCGCAATTGCATTTATTTTTAAAACACAGTGTTAAATAAGTTTGGTTCACTGATATAAATTTGTTAATCTGTCAAATTTGCAAGAAAAGAACACAAAATGCGCAGAGTTAGCCGATTTTCTAAAAGTTTTTAATTTACACAATTTTTTAGATGAAATCAAATATTTTAAGAAAATAAACTGCACTTACCGCCAAAACAATTCCCCAGTTGAAAAAAGGGACAATTTTTTCAGTCTTCATTTTTTATGGGTTATCATGTAACATAGAAACTTGGCCACTTTTTCTAAACTTGGTAATTTAAAATAATGGTAACATATATCTACATTATAAGAAAAAAAAGCATGATCATATCGACTTGCTTCTATTTTCAACTCTTTTGCAGTTCTTTCGAATGATTTTTTAGCTTCACATTTAAATTTTTTGGCACAGATGCCCTGATCACAAAAATATAAAAATCTTAAACTACAGCGTTTTAATGCAGAAAGCTTACTACAACTAGCTTGCAGTTTATCATCATTAGTTGAATTTCTCTTAAAACACACGAATTCTGTAAAAGCATTTGTATAAAACATTTGATTTCTGTAAAAACATTTGTATAAAACATTTGATTTCTGTAAAAGCATTTGTATAAAAAGCATTTGTATGTAAAAGTATTCGTAAAGTATTTTTTTTTATGATTGAGTGGCCAAATAGTCACATATGCAATTATACTTTTTTTTCGAAAAACGGTAGTTATCATTTTTTATGGTTCTGAAAACGCACATTAAGTGCAAATCTTTTTCCCCCATTTTCGCTTATCTATAGATCACTATCTAACTAAAACAATGGTAATTCAATCAAAAAATAAAACTGAGCATTAGGTGTTTCTAAGATTTCCTGTTCCTAATTTTGATCAATCATTGAAAATTCTGAGACTCAAACTTGTTAAAACTGCGTTAAATTCAAAAAGGAGACGTACACGGAACTAACATGATCAACTAGTTTGCCTAAAATTTTTTTTTTGGTTTTTCAGCCATGCTTAGAAACTCGCCCCGTACGGTTCCAGTAACAAGGCTGAATTTCAGGAAACTATCTCAGGAAACTGACCAAATTGGCATTTTCAAACCCTAATCATAGTAGAAACTGATCGCAGATGCGATTTCAGTTGAAATTTGAAAACATGGAGTCGAATTTTTCATTTAAGAGAAAAATGTTCCTTTCGAAAACTATTATTTCACTGGCCAAACATTGTCTAAAAAAAACTCCTATGCATATTTTTTGATTATTTTACTCGAATCTTGGCAATCAAAACACCTAAAGTTTCCATGAATCTAGATTATTGATAATAACTTCATTTCAGAGAATTTGACTTGTTTAGCAATATATAATATGATGTAAGCTAATTTGCACCTACATGGAGTTCATAATCATTTTAACCGTTTCCTTTTTGGCCTCAAAAAGAATCCAGATTTTTAATTAGATGGATGTTGAGTTTATTTTTGTACAGGATACTTCAATGATTTCATTCATATTTGGTTGTTTTCTTTAATTTGTTTCAAGTATTAATTTTTATTAACAAGTATTGGTGTTTTGGGTTTACCTGTGTTCATAGCGAAGCTGCCTGATCATAAAACTAACAAAGAGTCGAATTTTGTTTAATCTACCGCTCCCGGTTCTACAGTAGATTTCGTGCAGCTATTTGTGAATCCGATTTCTTAGGTCTGAGCGATTGGGCTCCAATCATTTCCCAGTCATAAATTTTTGAGAGTGGATATAACTATTTTCGCTTTTTTTGACAAAACAGTTGCTTGACTCCTCAGTTTTTGAAAATTTTCCAAAAATAAGCATATGGGTTGAACGATGATGGTTTGCTTCCGCATTCGAGTACTGCGCAAGATAGTGCGAAAGCATAGCGATTTTGCATTTGTTTAGTCTGTAGGTTTAATTAAAGCATAGCTTTTTGTATGTATGTTTCATGAGAGTAGTCTTTTACTTGTCTTCCTGGTGTTACCTTTAGTCCAATTGTCGCTATTTACTTATGTTCCTTCATTCCTCCGTTGCAAAATACTCTCATTCGTTTTAATGAACGATTTCAAAGTTTCGGTCTTTTTCAATGGCAAATTTTTTAGTTTTTGCGCAGTTTTCTGTTAGTATAAAAACTTTTAAGTTAATAATATTCATATTATGATTGAATAATTCTTGTACCACATGCAACAATTATCTCCTATGCCAAGTCTTTTTTCTACACAAATCTGCGTCCTTAAAAATTCTCCAAGAGCCTGGTACACGGTTAGATTACAATCGATTGTGTATAGGTAATCAGGGCTATCTTTTCAAGGGGCCACTTAACTACGCGCATACATCTTATTTTCCTGTATAACGAAACAACCGTAGTGAATGGGTCTGAAAGAACATGATATGATCCAATTCAATGCTCTGAATTAATGCTATGTGTGTACTTTTTGAAACCTCATCTAAAAAAAGTAAGAAAACCCATCCACAAGACAAAGTTAAACTATCAAGAAGCTTTTTTGAAAAGAAAACAATTTTGGAACACAAATTGACTGATTTGGGTTGACTAGTGTGCATGGAGCCAATTTTTTGTAAAAAATCTGTACAATTTGATGACTTATGGGACTGCTGTGTTTTTTTAGAGTTTTCAATCAAATATAGTTTAGATAGTACGACTATTTACACCCAGCTTGATAAAATTGGAGTATTTTCAAATTCGTCTTTGATTTTTTGATTTCTGTCTTTATTGTTGTGTTTTGCTGGCTCATTGATATGATTTGCATGGAGAAGAGTGGATCTTAGTTTTCTAAAGGCTTATCTAGGTGTACGAACTAGTTACAGTAAATCAGTCTTATTTTCTTGAAGCCAGGAATCATGATTAATAAGTGTCTGCTCTTGATTGATGTTTTTGTGTCAGGAGTCTTGTTCTTTGTTTCTCTGTGAAAATCTTCGACAATTAATGGATCAGAACATTCAAATGAAATTCGGAAAGATATGTTTTTCGACGAGTTTTGTTTTAATGTACTTCTTATTTCTTTTCGGTTTATGGAAAAGATTTGTAAATTTTTAATTTAAATATATAGTTTTTAAGCAAATTGATTGATTTTATTCTACTACATATTACTCAACGTAATGCTTTCTGCGAGCTAGTTTTTGTTCTTACATAGCAGAGTCCAACGGGATTTCGAAATTCACAATGATAATTTTTTTGTTTTCAAATGATCCCGATCCTGACCTTAACTCTTGCAAAGTTTTTCTTTCCTTCTCCTGAAGAATAATTTACCAAAAAAACTTTGAATTACTTTTTTTGGTTTTCGTAATTTCAATCTGGTTTGTTGTCCCTTAGTTGTTGCCTTTATTTAACTTTTCTTCAGATTCCCATCCCCGTAGATGTAATTAAGTTCAGTTTTTGTTTCAAAAACGAAGAACTTTTAAATTTTGATTTTACTTGATGATGATTGTAATGAGTGACTATGAAAAAAGATATCCTTGGCAATAGTCAGAGATAGAAATTCTGATTTCGGAGTGAGCCTAATTTTATTGAAAGTGTCCCAAAAACGTTTTCATATGGTTTTAATCCAGTGCTGACATTAATGTTGGTAAGAGGAGCGGAAGCAAATTTCCTTGCTAGTTCACTCCAATTCCATTTTGCTTGGTCGAGAAAAATTTGTAAGGAGCGTACCTAAAATATTGTTTTGACTTTCTGCTTTTCTTTTGTGAATAAGCTGTTATTGGAGTAAGGAAATATTGGATTGTTTTTGCTGATGTTACCTTATACTTAGCTCACTAAACCTACCGGTATAATATTCAATCAGGAAAGCAGTTCTTTTACCGTAAAATTTTTTTTGTGTTATAACAAATGTGAGTACTTTTTTTCAGTTAATAAATCATTGCAATTGCTGTTGTTGTAGCTATGGGATATACATGAAAAAATTTTGAAAAAAAAATTAATACTACTAAATAGTTTTTCTTCCCATTTGATGGTGAGTTGATTGGTGTTTTACGGTATACATGTACTATGTGAAAAGGAAAAGGAAAAATTCTTTCTCTTTTCTAACCGTGCTTTGTTCAAATCGTGATGTAATTGCTGGTTTATCTGTTTTTCTGACAGTCAAGACATACTGTTCCTAAATGCATTGACTTTTTGAACATGCTGGGCTAAAAAAAGATTCTTTTTAGTTCCGTCAGGAATATTTTTTTCGCTGTAAGTCCGGAAAACAGATTGAAATTTGTTGCAAAAAGCAACATTGTTCATATCCCGTAACCTATTTTGTACCTCACCATCTGATGACTGTTCTTTGCTGAATAAGTTTTCTATGACAAGCAAATAAATGAATTTAAAACTTACGACTGCTATCATCAAGTATTTTTCGGGTATTTACTTCTTCTTTTCCAAAATTTAAATTAACTTCCTCATTAAACTTGGTCAAAAAATGAGCGAGCTCGGTTTTTTGAATCGTTGCCCTAGATGATAATTTTCTGCCATTTTTTCATAATTGAGATTTTCCATTTGTTTGTGTTTTGGTTGCAATTTCATTCCTTAGTACGCTTGCTTGGATTGGTTTTGTGTGTCTGCCTTGATTGTTTCAAACCACATTTTGTTAAACTGATTATATGTTTTTAAGTTTCATAAAACTCACATAAGTGTGTTGGGTTAAAACCTAAATAAAATTGAAACTCGGGAGTATTAAGGATCTAAACTTTCTTCAATTCACATAGTATCTTTTTTTTCCAATTACAAGTGGTCTAAAATGGTTTATCGAAGAGTCTTGTAGAAAAAGAATAGTTTTTGATGGTGAGCAAACAAATTTAACCTTCTTTTTTTTCTTTTTCTTAGTGTGGTTATTAATTTTTAGTTTGGTTATTCCGGTACGATTTTGGTTTTTGAACTGAATTTTTTCACTTGGTCGTGGTGTTAAGCTCTACAAAACATTTTAATTCGTTGCCATCCTCATCTTAGTATAGAACAACCTTTAGAAGTGGCTTAGAACTTGTGTGAAGTTCGTGTGCACTGTTCTTTGCTAAATTTCTGCTGAAAATACCAAGGAAATTAAGATCTTTCCTTCCGTTTAATTAATTTTCATCTTCCAAAATTAATAATTAAAATGTCGATACATAAACAACTGTGTGTTCAAATATGAAATATAATCCCTTTTATTTAAAAAAATTTATTAATCTGTTTAAATGTATATTGGTTGAGGATTATCTAATGAAATAAAAATGTGCATAAGTTTTACAGCAGAAACAATTCCATCAAGTTTTGTCACTGAAGTTGTTTTTCCCTATTATAGACGCTTGAGATTAGTGAAGCAAATTGCTTTTGTTCGGGAAACTCAAACTTTAAAACTCATCCCGCTCCTGAGATATGTTCATAAAAAGAATAATTAGTGTCTG